AAACGATCGCGTGTTTACAAGTGTAATATCTCGTGTTCTTTGCAACGAGGCAACTTTCTCTACAGCGGCAAAACGTAACGCAAGTCGGAGACTCGAAGCAGAGCATATTTACACAGACGCTAAGTCGATATGCACCTGCCGCATTCACGATCTCGATGACGCGCCTTTGTGTAATTGAATTCCGCATCCTTGCGAATATCTGCTTACCTGTATGTATAATGTACATAATATGCGTACAGTATAACTGTTACGTCTATGTGGAATATGATTGAAATTATATCTTGCGCAGTCTAGTAGTCATCTACAGAACATGCTACTTAACAGGGCTTAAGAGAAAAAGACGGAGACGGAACGAAAGCTTTGCTTTAATTCATTTTGGCTTGAAAAATTTTATCCTTCTTCTTGCGAGATACGTGAAACGCATCCGAGATTGGATGAATTAAAAATTATCGTACTAAACAGGTAATGCGATACCCGTCTCGAAGCAATCTTTGTTAATCTTCTCTTTGGAGATGCGCTTGTTAAGAAAATCATTGAAAAAATTCTTCTCCTGGAAACGGTTTCATCTTTCTTTGTTGTAAATATTTCTCTCGAAGTCCTGCTAGATTCTTTATCTTCATAGTATGTGTGCTTTGAATGTAATGATAATGAAAAAAGTAGAATATTTTCCAAAAATTAAATTTCGACAAAAATGTTTGATAAAGATTAAAATAGCAGAAAAAAATGTAAAGTAATAAAATAAAAATGTAAAGTCGCAATACGAGAAAAAAATGTGGGTAAGAGATATTTCGCTTCTACAAGATTATTTGACATACAGAGTTGAGATTCACATTCGAGTTCATCGCTCGTATGATATCCATTTCACAATATGCGGTAATAAATTCTTCTTATATCTAACTATAAACATGATAAATAAAATGCATTTAGCTTGAATCAATATTATTGTACTCGATCACATACATAAAGAATCAAAGAATCAATTTTGATTCCTCAACGAAAGAATGTTTGAAAACTAAAATCATTATTGAAATATATATATATATATATATATATGTTAAAAAGTTCAACGTATTTTTTCAAGTAAATGCTTGTTTGATACAATTAATACGCGCTGTAAAAATTATGCTATGTAATCGTATTTCAATAGCTATTGCAATAAAAGTACAATAAGTATTCGTTATTTACATGAATAACTAAATATTTAAAATAATTGATGTAACGCGTTCGCATTTAATTTATAGCTTATGTATAGTTAATTATTTCAAAAAAATTTTCGCCAAAATCGTCAATCGAATCAAGTTTGGAATTCATATATCACGTTTCGTTTCTTTCCGATATCTAATCTCTCAGTAGTATCCATTCACCGCTCTCTTCGATAAACTCTTCGGCTGCATTATTCGAAAAGTTCGAAGTTCGGCCGAATATTTACAGGCCGTGTGCCGGGGACCGCGAAATTGCATAAACTTTTCAAATAAGACCAAATCTTATAAATTTGCGGCCGGGAACATTGTCCGCAAAAGTTCCGTGCCTCGCCGCGGGGTTATTAACTTTGGGTCACACGAAACTATCAGAGCATCGTCAAAGTCGTTTCCGCACTTCCGCAAGCCGATGCGGAACACTAATCCGCGAAACTCACGTCCCGTTTTCGTACCAATTATACTGTGATCCGTGCAATCGAATTACAGTACTGTCATGCTTGGACATCGTCAAAGAGCCTTTTATTCTACTATGAATGAATATTTAATAATTATTATTTGATAGAAACCACATAACTATACAATAGAGAGCATTTGCACTCTTTAGACATGAAAATGAATAAGGATGTTAAATTTTGGCTATTTTCCAGCTAACATGTAGAAGTTCTGAATCGTACAAATTGTATATCTATCATGTTAATGGACTATTTAAATAGAATCAAGAGATATATTGCTCTTAAGGAAACATTAGAAATGTGGGAGAAGCCATTATGAAAATCTAATTCTATCATCAATATAATGCTATTTATTGATAAAATACAATAAGATAAAACAGTGAAATACGCCCCACATTTTTTCTCTAATAAAACATGTTTCCAATACATATTTCCAAGATTAGGTCAATTATTTTTTGCATTACATAACAAGCCTTACGTGATTATTTGCTTTCAAACAAATTTTTTAATTATATTCTTTATCAATAAACTTTATCAATAAAATTTAACAATAAAATCAGAAGTATCGATCCTAATAACCTTTTAATGTAGAAACTGTAGTGCGTTATATTACACAATGCACCGAGTAATACAAATGAACTTTTTTTTATTCTATAATTCATTTATATATTGAAAATGTTAATAAATCTGTCATAGACGAGAAATTCAGCTTTAATTTTACTTTTTTTTTTATTGTAATTGAAACATTTTTTATAGTGAATTAAGTGCGCTGCCATTATTCCCCCATTGTTCCATATATTTAGAATTTATACGAATAATTAAATATTTCAAAGCAAAAATGCACTTTTTAAAAGCTAAGAAGTCCTTTGTATTCCCATGAA